AAATGCTTCATGTCTGCCTAAACCTTACACTCTTTATATAAACACCTTAGATAGCTACCTTTTACAATGCAATCAATTCTCCATGACCTTCAGTACCCAATACCCTTTCAACCCAATATTTATCTATTCTCCGAAGTAGTAATATAATATCTACTATCCTAAAGGCCTAGGTTTCTTATAGTTTAATACTATTTAAATCAATTAATCTTTCTCTTAAAAATAGTCTAAGAAGGGACAACCTTACTAGTTAAAGAGAAATACTTTATAGTAGTAGCCTACTCTCTACTTTCTAAACCCTATAAAGTTATAGGATTTATCTTAGTCTTAGGTATAATAACCTAGCTCTTTCTAGTAACTCTAAGGGCTATTCCTTTCTTATTGTGACGACACGTACGAGATGTTGCTCAGAGAGCGTCCAAGGTGTAGGTTATGGAATCGTAGAACTGTCTATTCGAAGATTCTAAGCTAAAGAGAGAAGAGAAGAAAGGACAGAAGTCCAGGAGCTGGAAGCTCTTATATACAGGAGGGGTACCAAGGGTTATAGCTAACCGAGCCGGGCTCGGGAAGCACGGCGGCCGACGGGTGCCAGCCAGGGGCTGGTTTGAGGCATGGTGGCGGTGAGAACCGTCACACTTATTTATATTCTAGATATTATTATTATAAACTTAGAATTTCCTCTTTATTTTAAGGAATAGATCGAACTAGTAGTTAAAGATTTCGTACTCCTAGGCCTTAATATAGTCTATATTTCGAGGGGTTATAATTCGAGATTTCAGGTTTAGATAACGTTCTAGGAAGCTTAAATACTAGTTATTTCTAAGAGGTTTATATTTAAGATTCTCTCTCTTCTTCTTCTCTTCTAGGATCTTAATTACTATTCGTCGAATCTAATAAATCTTTAGAGGCTATCCTAGCTATAGAGTTTTAAATAGTAGTTTTTAATAAGTACCTCCTTAAGTAAAAACAATCTTATTAATCCTATAGTATATCTTATACGTAGAGTAATACCTTAAACCCGGTCTCATATACGCTCCTAGGTAATACTATATCTTTATACTACTCCTTAAATAGAGTATTATTATTCCTTAGGAAGTTATAAGTATCGTAGATAAAGCTTAGTTACTTGTTCAATTTTCTTAGGGGTAGGTATAATAGTTTAGTTACCTACTTATTATAATTTAGCTCGAGTTATATTAAATTAACTAAATAGATTATAAATACTTAACGTAGAAATATTAAATATATATAAAAATAGGTTTGTAAAGTATTATATAGCCGAAAGGGGTAAAAAAGAGGGTAATTACCCCTTTTTTAAGTAGGTAGTTAACTAGGGTAGGTAGAAGCCCCGTGTCACGAATCACGTGTTACCACGGGAGATAGTGAAGACCAGGCGGCGCCCTGACAGGTCGAGCATTATCATAACTCTTATAGCAGAAGGGAATCCTTAGGCTAGCTAAGCGATCCATGGATTTCGTCGGATTAAAGTACCACGTGACCATGATCGCTTCAGTCGCCTGAGTCGCCTGTCGACTGAAGCGACTGAGGCGAGCGACTAAAGCGATTAGACAGAGATGATTAAAGTACCACGTGACCATGATCGCTTCAGTCGCCTGAGTCGCCTGTCGACTGAAGCGACTGAGGCGAGCGACTAAAGCGATTAGACAGAGAACGAAGGTTCTATATAAGACTGGCACGTCTGCCATTAGATAGGAGCTTCGTGCTCAACTTAGTTATCAATCTTATCATATTTGTTTGACATCTTTGATACAAGTAACGAGTTCACTTCCAAGTGAACAACCCGATAGTCTTCTTCTTATCATAGCATACCAACCAGCGAACACCCAGCCAAGTTTAGTTAGCCAGTTTGAGTATTCGTTACACCCCGTACGTATAAGTAATAGTAACCCTAAATTCTATAGTATAACGGTTATAATACCTTAGAGGAAAACCCCTATTTTAGGATCCGTAGTAATACGATTATAAAAGTTATAACCGCTATAAGAATTTATACTTATAGTAATACTATTACTATTTACAACCTATTAAATAGTATAGCTAGGTAGGATTTATATCTATTATAAAAATTAACCTACGTAGTATAGTCTATTTCTATAACGGATATAGAAGGGATAACTATCATAATAAGCCTAACTATTATAATCTAAGACTATTATATATACTAAGATAGTTATAGGCTATAACCGTTATACTAAGTTTAACGGTTATAGTATAAGACTATTATATAGGCTAAGACGGTTATAGGCTATAACTACTATATAACCGTTATAAATTTATAACGGTTATATAATAGTTACGCGACGGTTGTAAAAATCCTAGGATATAGGGCCCCTACGAATATTCCTCGGGAGTCTATATATAAGTGCTCGGAAGTCTAGGAGACTACGAATAATAACGCTATAATTATATAAGTAGTAGATTCGAGCGATTTAGACAAAATTCCCCTGCGCGCTTCATAGGCGCTATCTGGCTGTACTTGTGCGTAGGTACCTAGGTGCGAGGGTCTGGGTGGTGCGTACCTGTAGGTAGGTAGGTAGGTGCCTTCCTTAAGTGAGGGTATTCCGAGTCTTAGCGTTGTATGCCTAGGGGTGCGTACGTGGATGTAGCCGGTTGTAAAATGCGGAACGGTTGTACGACGGTTATACGACGGTTACGCAACGTTTACAAATTAACACAATTGTTATAAAGCTTGTAACGGATATAAATATCGCTAGTTGTAAGTAAAATAACCGTCGATATATAAATCCGTTGTTACAAAGGTATCTAGCTACAAATATCGACGGTTGATTTGCTTATAACTAGCGATATTTGTATCCGTTGCAATAAAGTTATCTAGCTACAAATATCGACGGTTGTTTTACTTACAACTAGCGATACTTGTATCTGTTGTAAGCTATATAACGGTTATACCTAATAACCCCTACAAAGTGCAACCGTAGTAATACGGCATGGCACGGAGCGCAAATTCACGACAGTTGCAAAGTACACCCGTAGTACAACTATATTACTACCGTTTTATATATGGGGGTTTTCCTCTAAGGTAGTCCAATTGACTAAAGGGCGGATTTGAGGGTTACCATAGCACAGGTCAATCTGCACGTCCTCTGTTTACAGGTGAAAAGTCGACGGCCGTGGAACTTGCATTCAAAGCAATCTTACAAACCCAACAGAAAATACATCACCATCTCCCCATCTTCCATCCACTCAAGAAGCAAGGTTACTAAAAAGACCCTCGATCCCCAGACTCCATACCCATCACAGCACAACGTAGAACCCTTCCCCCGACCTTCTCCATCTCCCCATCTTCCCACCCTCTGGGAATGTGGGGGCGGAGACTGTCGCATTATAACGGACAGTAGACAAATCGAGTAAAAAAAAAGTAGTGTTGAGATATATTCCACGCCTTTAGATCACATTATTTAGACGCACTTCGTTCGAGTACTTAATACTCGAACTCTCACACTCACTTAGCTCCTTAACAATCGAATCACATATATATAACCACTTTGCTTGTTCACAACAGTACGCTGTTGATATCCCACTGGGATATCGACAGATACCTCTATACCAACAAGTAGAGATCGTAGAGACAAGTAGGGGTACCATAGTACTACCATACTCCAACGTCCTCCTTACTAAGCGAGAATAGAGTCCTTTCATACTCCAGAACCCATCATCCTCTAACCTCCTCCTTACTAAGCAACTAACTTTTAAGGGAGTTTAGACACTACCCGAGCGTTCCATAAACTATCTATCTATATCATAGAGCCTTCCCCCTATCTTTACCTCTATGAACTACCTATAGGTACTTATTCGTTTTCGACCTGTCCCTCCCTCTCTTCCTTCGTATAAGTACTCCCCTACTATCCTATCCTATAAGTCTCCTTCTATTACACCCCCTTACCCCATACCACATACCCTATACCCCCTCTCTCTACCTGGGTAGATAAGTAAACAAACGCATAAACACATCAACAAAAGAAATCCACCTATACCTTTGATAATCACCGTTCTGTCATATAGCTCTATCTAACCGATAACATCCGATTCTAAGAATCTTTTATACCCAGGTACCCCTCGCGTCTCAGTCTCTCCCTCTCCCTATCTCACTAAAACAACAACATTGGAATTAGTCTGTAATTACTCTGTTTAGTACATTAGTAAAAAAACCCCCCAGATATTTATAAGATTCTACTCGTACCCTAGGTAGTAGGCTGCTCCCACCACTCCCACAATTACCCAAACACCCCAGCCCACCCCTTGGATTGAAATCTATTACTGTACAGTAACTAAACTAACGTATAGGTAACCATTACAAGCCTCTCACACAAACCCGATCTGTAATACCAAAACCCCTGCTAAGTCCAAGATGAGGAGGAGGATTTTTATAACCCTAGAAAACGTAAGATTATCTTTCCCACGTGTATATAGTTCAAGATGAAAAGAAGATACCTACCTACCTACCTACCCACTCACCCACCCAATCAAACCAATCAACCCAATACCCAAGAAACGACAATCACACCAAGATAACCCTAAGTTCAAGCTCCAGCCAAGGTCCAACCAAGGTCCAAGAAAAGGAAAAAGATGGAAAAGAAGAGAAGATGCAAAATCTACCATCCTGATCTTCACCATTCTCTCTATTCACCCAAAACTCACCCTCTCTTGATAACTACAACCAGTAATCTTGTAGTATACCCTTACTTACTTAGTCGCATCTAGTTAGTTAGTTGGTTAGTAGTCTTACACCAAGAACCTCAACCTCCCAGCCTCCTCAAAAGTCTCTCTCTCTCTCTCTCTCTCCCTCCCTCTCACTCACCCACTCACCCACTCTCTCACCAAAGAACAAAAGACCAAACAAAATAAGACACCATAGAAGAATCATCCATACTATTCATCCCTCCCTAATCATTCTTCCCACGTACTACATCACCTTCCCCAAGTCCCCACTACCTATCACGTACATATACACACTTACTCCACGCTATCCACGTCCATGAAGTCTTTCCCTTTCATCCCCTCATTCCCTTTCATTCACCAAATACCCCCTCCATCCCATTGATTCACCCCCGAGTCCAAGTCCAAGCCCAAGCCAAATGAAACCAGCAAACAGAAAGAGTCGAGATTCCAGGTATGCCCACGCATGAGACGAAAAAAAAGAAAGCCGAAAGATTTGGAAACCGAATCCGAAAAGAAAAAAAACCGCTGTAGATGCAGATTTGAAAAGTGCAAAAAGTGGAAAGCAACTCCTTTTCAAAGACGTACACCCCCCCTAATTTCCCTATCCATAAAATGAAGAATTTTTATTTTTCATGGACGGAGAAGTTGTTTATTGTTGAAGATCGCTTATTCTTCTTTAATTATCAGGCCGTCTGAGGGTTTGACTCTCATTGCCCATTCCCTGAGATTGTATCTTAGCAAACGTTTGAAGGATTGGATAATAGAAGAAAACAGGAAGTGCCTCGCTAAAAAGACGAAGGAACAAGACATAAAAAAAATGGGAACAACATACGTCCAACTCCCATCATAAACTCTCCTACCCTTCTCCTCATAGCCCGCCTCTTGCAGCGCAGCATCAATCACGGCAGCCGTAACACCCGTCCCACAACTACTAATAATCGGCTTCTTAGGATCAACCCCCTTCTTTTCAAAGATCTTTCTCAACTCCGGCGCAGGAAGTAAAGTCTTCTTGACCGGATCCAACAACTCAGAAACCGGCATAGAAATACTTCCAGGCATATGACCACTCTCCAATCCCTCCCTTGGCTCCTTCTCCTTCCCACTCCATCGACCTTGCGACCGCGCATCCAGAATCTGCACCCCCTCCGCACCCTCTTTATTCCAGTCCTTTGCAATCTCCTTCACCTCCTCAAACTCCACCAGCTTCGACGAGTCGAACTCGGGGATTGGGTATGCACACGTATCGACATCCCAAAACTCCCCACTTTCCACCGGAAAGCCCTCCTCGATCCAAAGCTTGAAATTGTTGAGAATATGTACACTCTCATGCCCAAAGGCCTTCAATGTCCAGCCAACCCTCGGCGCACTAAAGATGCCCAATTCCGCACTATCATACACCACCACCGTATCATCCCTTCGAATACCTAGCCCACTCATGGCTTTTGCAAATGTCGATGCGGAAGGTAACATATGCGGATATGGAGAGCATTTATCACACACTTTATCGAGGTCGAAGAATCGCGACGAGGGGATCCGGGCTTTGCGGAAGGTATCGAGGCCATTCCTAGCATCGTTTGGAAGGAACCAGGAGGCGCAGAGGGCGACGGTTCGAGGCGCGGTAGATATTTTGGTGGGCGGGTTCTTGGAGAGAGCTTCTTTTAGCTCGGAGGGGGTGACTAGGTAGGAGGAGAATTCGCGGGCGGACATTTTGAGGATTGTTGACGAGGGATTGGAGAAGGAATTGGCGGGTTTGTATTTAGTATTTGTAAAGCAGTGGGATGTTCGGAAGAGAGGATTACGAGAGGTGCATAGTCCTCTGGTGAGGAGAGAGGTAGCTGCCGCCATGGCGTGCTAGGTGACTTGTGGGGGGCTTATCGCGGGGGCATAAGAGGTTGAAGTTGTTGAGGAAGGTACGGGAGAATGGGGGATGAGTGATGATGTCGTATAACTGCTGTTTATCCTTTGCTTGTGCGACAAAGAGAGTTGGAGCTTTTTCCTGAGAGGAGAGTGGTGTTGTTTGTCGTGCGAGAGAGTCTGCAGCTTCAAGCTTTGCGAAATCAAAATTGCTGGAGAAGATAAGAAGGAAGTGGGAAGGTGGCGCACGGTCTGCGGAGAGCCACTCACGCATTGCGAATCAACAAACAACAAAAGTCGTGGAGCTTCATCAACGTCATTTCTCGACCTCGCCGATTTCTCCGTGGAAGCTTTTGAAGCTGCTTCTCCCCTACGACAACCCTATTGCGCCAACAAATTTACAATAAATCTTACCAACACGCCCAGAATGAAGGTCAAGATCGTGAAATGGAACGCGGTAGCGACCTGGCGATGGGACATACCCGACGACGATGTCTGCGGTATCTGCCAAGTTCATTTTGATGGCACTTGTCCCACCTGCAAGTATCCTGGCGATGACTGCAGTTTGCGTATGTCTACATATAATTCCTCATCTGCAGAGTTCTTACTAAGTTGCTTTACAGTCTCCGGCAAATGCGGACATAATTTTCATATGGTTAGTTCTTGAGAAGATTCAGCGCAGTGAAGAATGGCATTCTAATGGGGTATAGCATTGTATTGTGGAATGGATCAAACAGGACTCATCTAAAGGTCAATGTCCTATGTGCAGACAGAGTAATGATTGCCCCTCTTCCCCGCCATGCATTATGCTAACCCAGGTATAGAATTCGAATGGACGGACAATACGATGGCTAGTACCGATGGAGGCGAGGATCAAGGCGAAGGAGAATTATGAAGAATGATTGGGCGTGGCGTTCGAGTTATTCTAAATTGTTGGAGGCGTTGGAATTCCCAAATGAAGGGAAGGCGTTATGGACGGGATACCCACTTAAATTGAGAGGCTGCGACTGCAATTCAAAAGACATTGGCCTGGTGGCACACAAAGCTGCATGGAGTCTTCATACCTTTTAAAGGGAATCATGTGGGCCACAAAAAGATCATACGAAAAATAATATCAACGGAAGAAAAGCGTTTATACCCATCGTCATAATGGCAAGGGAGATGAGTCTTTCGAAGAGCTACCTAATACCAGCAGAAGTAGAAGCCATGGAATGAGGAGTATTGGAATACCAATCAAGGTTGCTGTCATTGAATCTACGCCAAAAAGACCAACCTCGACAATGCCTCAAAAGCGAGACCCATTCATTATATCCCGTAATTGTACATCAAAACATTTTACTTTTATGTGAAAGTTGATTTGTTCAATTCGCTATCCCATCATCATCAATGGTCGGTCGGGTCCAGTCCAACGCTATCAACATAACCCCCAACTCCATTGACTACACACATCGACCTTCTGGTTCCCTACAACTCGTTGTGCTCCTGTCCAGCGTCATCAGAGTCAGCAAGGATGGTTTTAACGGCCTCGGCAGCCTCGGAGAGGACACTGGCTGCGCCGGCCTTGATACCTTCGGGAGCGTCTTTTGCTTGATCTGATGCCACACTGCTTACTGATTCGGTTGCCGCAGCTGGCTTTGCCTCTGCTGGCTTTTCCTTTTCCACAATCTTCTCCGGGGCCTTGACACCTTTGATCGCCATCAATTCGGTTTCGAAGACTGTGATGTGAAGGTTAGTATACACATTTGCATAAAGAGGGGACATTTAATTTTATGCCTCTAAACTTGGAGAGAAGGAGTACATACTCAGAGTACTTCCAGCTGGGATAGGACCCATATCTCTATCTCCATATCCATGCTCCGGAGGAATGGTCAAAGTTCTCTTCTCGCCAATGCACATGTCGATGAGGTTATCATCCCAACTACAATTCGGCATCAGCTATACGTAACTCCCTCGCTCCGTCCATGCAGCAATGGGACTGACCCCTTAATGACACTTCCTCTGCCCACCTCGAAGTCCAATGGTGTTCCACGGTTGTAACTGGCATCGAATTCTTTCCCGTCGGTCAGGGTTCCTCGGTAGTGAACGGAAATCTTGTCTCCTTTCTTGGATTTGCGGTCGCATTCGACGGCGCGAGTGACCTCGATCTTGACCTCTGCGGCCAGGACCGCGGTGGCCAATGCCGCCATGGTAAGGGGGGTAATGAAACGCATTTTGGGTGGTGGGAATTGGGGATCTGGATGATGGAATTGTGAGTGAAATGTGCAGAGCAGGTACAGGAGAATGGATTTTGGGTGGACTCGTACCTGTTGGTGGTTATGGACACGGTGGATGGATTTCTCGTGCCTGAACTGGACCACAGCTCAATTCGGCAGCATGAGATGATCCTGATGATTGGTCAGGGAGCCCTTGGCAATAGTTCTGTCTACTCGAGTAAAATGCGGGGATCCCCGATAGGGTTAGGCTTGGTATCAATGTGTTTATTTGGTGATTTGATCGTGATTGGATGAATTGGCGGGGATTGATTAGATTCACTTAGACGCAGACGCAGGCGCACTGCAGAAGTTCACGCATCGGCAAGTCCATCAATCCGATCCTTCGACGTCACCAAGGGTTCACCGAAAAAGATTTCCAGATCGCAACAACAGCAACCAGACCGGGGGAAGCCGTATCCTCTCCAGAACCCTCGAATTTGCTGGTCACGATTCGAGTCATCCTCAGACCAGCCAATTCGCGCTAGCCCCCAGCCCCCAGCTTCCAGGCAGTTCAAGGCTGCCATACCCGAATGGGAGTGCGCAAGAATCACTGTCAGCTTCAGCTGAACATGAACCTGAACCGGCTGGAGGAAAGCGCTGCCATCACTGCCACCATGAGGCCATCACGTTGGGCATAGGCATGCACATACCGAGTCTTCCAGAGTGACCAGAGAGTCCTTGGGCAGCGATGGCCGTCGCTACAGTGGTTTGCCGTGGGACGAGCAATCTCTCATGGGCGGTGGAAGACTGTTTCCCAGGGTCGGTGGTCGGTTGCTTCCTCTCTGCGCGCGCCTCACTTGAAAACGCCCTACGAGGACGCCCAGCTCCCCCTCCCCCTTCCCTCCCCCTTCC